CCCCCCCCCCCGGGAGCTCCCCTTCTACCCGCACCCGCTTTCTGGGCCTTCTCCGGGGCGGGGGTTGGGCCCGCATGGCCGGTAGGGCCTGCTGAAGGGGATGCGGGGAGGATGCGGGCCCTGCGGGGGGAGCGGGGGCGGAGGCGGGTCGAGGGGCTCCGGGAGCCCTCGGGCTGTGGGGTCTCGGGGTCTGGGGGGGCCGGGCAGGCCGCCCGCCGGGCCCCTCAAACGGGCGAGGTGCAGCGAGAGCCCTGTCACGGTCACACCCCCACCCAGCCTCCCCATCAGCCTCTCAAAGCCCTCCTTATTCCTATTAATTGATACGTTAAAAAAAATAAAATAATTAAAAATCACCCCTTTGACCGTGTATTTTTGGGTTTGAGATCCGGGCTTTTGGTTCGGAAAGGAGGAAGCCGCTTCCCTTTGTTTCTGGTTTTGCACCAAAACGACTCGTGGGCTCTCTCCCCGACAGGCCGAGGAGGCTGCGTACCCCCCCCCTCCGAGGAAAATGGGCTCCAAACAGATCGCCCAGGAAACCTTTGACGATGCGGTGCAAGAAAACATTACAGAATTTGAAATGGATCCCGAAGAGGCTGTGAGAGAAGCTGTGCAGCAGTTTGAGTCCCAAGGTATCGTAAATTCATCTGCTTTTGCCACTCAGATTATTACAGGCTGAGGTTTTACGTATCTTAAAATTTAATAGAACTTACGTGCAAAGATTGATCATCCAGTATTGGAAAGAAGCCTTTGTGAAGTGGAACGTAGATGCTATTAACACTAACCTAATTTTGTGGAGTAATTATGACTGAAAAACTGCTTTGAGTGAAACTGCAGGGTGCAATTTGGTCAATGAAATTAAACTTTTTTTTTTTTCCTTTTTTTTTCTTCCCAGTTGACATTTAGCTAGAATTGATGTTCTGCTCCGGGATATATTTGGCCATTGTAGTTAGAATTTTAACAACATTTCAGTATCTTTGTGCATTCATCCACACTTTACAATGAGTTAACCTTTGTTAAATTGATAAATTTTATCCAATCCACACTTTACAATGAGTTAACCTTTGTTCACTGTGGTTAACTTGATAAATTTTACTCGAGCTCCTGTAACTAATATTAATCTTGGTTTTGTTTTTCCTTTCAGGTGTTGACCTAAGCAATATTGTGAAAGCTGTGCGGCAGCCTGCCTCTGAAAATGGCCAAAAGCAAAAGCATGAAATTTTGCTGGTAGGAGCACAAATTTATGTTATTTTCTACGGATCAGGGTTATGGAATAGTTTAAGTAATAGACTGAGAATAATAAGACTTACCTTCTACTTCTGCCTCTGTCCCATTTCTTTGTGAGCTCTTCAACAAGCAGTTAATCCCATCTGTTGTGCAAAATGGGAATAATATAGAATTTCAAAGAGCTGGCTTGTACTTCTTAGTGGAAGTTTCTCTGTAAGTGCGAAATTCAGCATTTCCTGGCCAGCAGATGTAGATTCTGCCTTTTGTAATTTAGAAGCAGATTCTGCCCTTGTCAGGTAAACTCAAGCCACAGAAGAATGTTAATGAAAGAGATACAAATAACAGAGGTGGTAGCTGTTAGTTGCCCCTCTGGGGGGAGAGGAAAAGATTGAATATAGTCCCTCACCACCAAGAATATAAAAATACTCATAAACGCCATGGACCCCTGTGAAATGTGCCCTTGGACCCAGTCCACCCGCTACTGGTCAGACTGGACCCAGTTCACCTGCTACTGGTCAGACTGGTGTACAGTGATGGCCAAAGCACAGAGAAGCCCCCATTCCTCCAGGGGTTTTGTGCATGAAGATAAAATCCTGCTCTGTAAGACAGCCATTTCTTAGATATGTCAAACTACTAATAGTCTCCTTTTAAGCTTAAAATTACAAATAAGCAAATTTGACTGACTATAAGGAACTGCTCTTGTTCCTTCAGGGTTCAGATGGAAAATTAACTCTTGTTCTCTTTTTTAGATTTTAGATGCCCTTGGGAAAGCCGTTGCTGACTCTGACCTTGCTGAGGTGGCCGAGCAGCTGGTGGTCTTCGCCGATCAGTGCAAAGAACAACTGGCTTTCCGCTACCTGGCTGGGCAGAATGGCGCCTATTCCGTGGTGTTCTCTGCCTGCCAGTTGGCTTCGGGAGACAGAAATTTAATGCTGAAAGCCTTTTCTACTCTGTCTGCCCTCTTGGACGGGCAACCAGACCTGCTTGACTCCGCTGGCCAGGATCTACTGCTCCAAACTCTGAAGGAGCATAGGGAGGATGGGGAGATGACGCTGGCCGGGATGCGGTGCATTCGCCACGCCTGCCTGAAACACGAGCAGAACAGGCAGGACTTTGTGAAAGGAGGGGTTCTGCCCCTTCTCACCGGAGCCATCGTCCAGCACGGAGGCAGCGCCGACGTCGTGCGAACGGCCTCCTCGGCGCTCAGGGTCATGACGTTCGACGATGACATCCGTGTGCCCTTCGGCCACGCTCACGACCATGCTAAAATGATTGTGCTGGAAAACGACGGGTTGAGAGTCCTCATCGAAGCTGCAAAAGGTAAAATGAACCCCCGTGATGGTTGATCCCCATTTTGAATCATCTGTGCTTTCTTATCTCAAAACCGTGCTTTGTCGTAACTTTAAGCCACCCGGAGATGGCTCAGAAATTTGCCACTAGTTTAATTCTTTTGATGAAATGAGCCCCGAGAGAGAAATAATGTGGCTGCTCCAGAGGCTGTCGGCAGCACCAAGGTGGCAGTTATCAGAGCTATTATTTGTCACTCTGTCTAGGAAGCATTTTACAGCCCAGGGCAGGTTTACAGGCACATTATCCCTGCTGAGGTGCTGCGTTCTTGCCAAGAAAAGAGAATTCTGTCTCAGTCTAGATAGAGAGCGAACAACAGGATGTCACCTGTGCTGGTGTGTTTTAATATATAAAGTGAAATTCGCTGTTTCCTGTTTCTTTTTTTAAAATGAAGTAAAACAGCTTGATTCTGCAGCACCCCTCCTTGCTTGTAGTTACTCCATTCCTCATCTCTCCTCTGCAGCGTTCACGGCTAACTCCAGTGTTCTCAGTGAACTGTGTGCCACCCTTTCTCGCCTCTCTGTCAGGAACGAATTCTGCCAAGAAATTGTGGACCTTGGAGGCTTAAACTTTATGGTGACTCTGCTGGCTGACTGCATCGACCACCCGGTGAGCCATAGAAAGTGTTCTTGGGAGTGGAGGTAACGCAGCAGGGCCTGCTTTTTGTTTTACAGTCCTGGATGTGAATTTGCCTTCGACTGTGCATTATTTTAGGAGTACTTTAGGGTTGAAACTCAACTATTGAGTCCCTATTTATGGCCTTACATTCAGGAGTAGGTTCCAGGTGCTCTCTCAGATAAGAATGCAGCAATTCCAAGCCCCTTGCTCTTGGTCCTCCAGGAGCAGAACTCTCCTTGCGCCCAGAAATGTGAAGCTCCTGGTTTTTCACTCTTCTAGAAAGAAGAGATTCAAGAGGATTTAGAAGCTCAAGTTACAGAGGGTTGATGTTTGATTCTTTAAGCTTCTTTGAAAACCTCTGCCAAATTAACAAGGTGCCTTATTATTCTGTCTAGCAAGAAAGCATGTCTGAGATGTGAGTGTCTGAGAAGACCATTGCTCTTTGTAGCTGGGAATGACGATTGTTTGAAACAAGTTGCCGGGGGATGTTCTGGTTGGCTTTCAAAAGTCTGTAAAACTCTCTCGGTGCCTTATTATTCTGTCTAGCAAGAAAGCGTGTCTGAGATGTGAGTGACCGAGAAGAGCGTTGCTCTTTGTAGCTGGGAATGACAATTGTTTGAAAAGAGTTGCCGGGAGATGTTCTGGTTGGCTTTCAAAAGTCTTTAAATCTCTCTCTGCAGCTTTCTGAGCTGGTTTTTTTTTTTCTTGGTGAATGCAGGACGTGGTGAAGCAGGTGCTGAGTGCCATCCGAGCGGTTGCGGGTAATGACGACGTGAAAGATGCCATCGTTAACGCTGGGGGAACGGACCTCATCGTGCTCGCCATCAGCCACCACCTTTCCAACCCTCAGGTACGGGCTCAATTGGGCAGTGAAGTCCCACCAGGGCTGGGAACAGGGCTCGGGTTTGGGCTGGATGATGCAGTATTGTCATCACATCTGGTGGAGGGCAACAACCCCCAGCGTTGCTCTGACTTGTGATAAACAAGCAGTTAAATGGTTGTAGCTGAATAATATATTAAACCTTTAATATCCAGTTGTCGTGGAGCAGTTAAGTGCATGCTGTGGCAAATATTGGAGGAAATGTATGTTCACTTTCCTATATTAGGGTTTTGCTTGTTCCTATCTCAGATGGATACTGGTTACAGTGTTTTACACTCAGATTGATACTGGTTACAGTGTTTTACACCTTTAGGGTGTAAAAACTAGGGGTGTTTTACACCTCTAGGATGTAAAACTTGGTTCACATGCCAGAGAAATGGGATGTTTCAGTGGAAAATCTTAAAAAAAAAAATTAAAATATGCCAAAAAGGAAACAAACTCCAAACACGTTGTTTGATTGTTTTTTTTTACTTTAAAGCAACAATTTTCAGCCAGTGAGTGTCTCTTCCCCTTTGTCCCGCAGATCTGTGAGCAAGGCTGTGCTGCCTTGTGCATGTTGGCTCTGCGCAAACCGGAGAACTGTAACGTCATCATGGAAGGCGGAGGGGCGTTGGCAGCTCTGCAGGCCATGAAAGCACACCCACGAGAAGTGGCTGTTCAGGTATTTGCCTCCGAGCACTTGATTATTGATTCAGGATCAGTGTTGGCTGCGTTTGCCCCTTCGTTGGGATCTTGTCATTTACTTGACGGATGCCAGAAGGTTCTGAGCGTGTTGGGAATGTACCTTCTAAATGCAGGACTCCCTACGTCTGTCACGATGATGTGATCAGAGGAAAATTTACTTTGGCTTTCGAACCCACCTGAATTCACAGAATCACAGAATGTTATGGGGTTGGAAGGGACCTCTGGAGATCATCTCCTCCAACCCCCTGCCAGAGCAGGTCCCACAGGAACGTGTCCAGGGGGGGTTTGAATGTCTCCAGAGAAGGAGACTCCACCACCTCCCTGGGCAGCCTCTGCCAGGGCTCTGCCACCCTCACAGTGAAGAAGTTCCTCCTCATGTTTAGATGGAACTTCTTATATTCAAGTTTGTGCCCATTTACTTGTCCTGTCCCTGTGCACCACTGAGAAAAGCCTGGCCCCATCCTCCTGACACCCACCCTTTAAGTATTTATAGGCATTGATCAGATCCCCCCTCAGCCTTCTCTTCTCCAGACTAAAAAGCCCCAAGTCCCTCAGCCTTTCCTCATCAGAGAGATGTTCTAGTCCTCTCATCATCTTTGTAGCCCTCTGCTGTACCTTCTCCAGCAGTTCCCTGTTCTTCTGGAACTGGGGAGCCCAGAACTGTCCAGCACCAGACAATCGAGGTTCAAGTGACTGTGGAATGCTTCTCTTCCAGGCATTCTCCTCCTTGAAGGAGCAGGATGAGCATAGGCCCTTTCGGATCCAGCCTGTGCTATGATGTTACCTGTCCTGTAGTTCTGTGTCCACTTTTGTGCTCTCCAGAGTATTAAAATACCTTATTAAATATTTTCTGAAAGCATAGTTGAAGCTAAGTGCCGGGGAAGGTGCCTGGAGCAGCCTGCAAGATGGGAAGGTGGGGCTGCTGTAACCAGAGAATTCTCTCAGCATTATTTAAAGTAGTACAGAATTATTTAAAGAAGTACTTGGTGTTGCCTGGCTGGTGTTTGAGATTTCCTGGTGTTCTGACAGAAGCAGGAGGTTTTGTTCTAGAAGCTTCAGTGTGAAGCAGCAGCCATACTGTCGCCCATAGATTTTTTTTTTATTATTCCAGGACATAGCTCGTTGCTCTCCACAGCATCCCACGTTTGGTTGTCCAGAAAAGATTCCTTTGTTGGAGCCAGATCTGCTTTGTGTGTTCCAGCGTCCTACAAGGGTGGTTATTTCCCTACCAAAGACACTGATATCTCTCATTTTACCTCTCTCCTCAGAAACAGGCCTGCATGTTGATCCGCAACCTGGTCTCCCGGAGCCGGGACTTTTCTCAGCCCATCTTAGAGATGGGAGCTGAGAACCTGATCACAGAAGCTCGGGCAGCTCACAGGGACTGCGACGACGTGGCCAAAGCCGCTCTGAGGGATCTGGGCTGCAAAGTGGAGCTCCGAGAGCTGTGGACGGGTCAGAAGGGGAGCCTGGCTCAGTGAAACGTCACCCCTGCTGAGCAGTGGAAGCTTCAGTTCCTCATCCTCAAGGCCGGGGGGGAAAAACGAAGCGGCGTGGATTAATTTGCAGTTACATCCAGCTGGACTGTCTGAAGCAAATGCCTGGCTTGTGAGGCTGCGGTGAACTTTTGATCAGGAGCTACAGCTGAAATGGCTTTACGCGCTCACGGGCTGCAGATGGGCTCCGTGCAGTAATCATTCCCTGCCTCATCTAATGCCTGGAGATGATCTGCTCTCCCCCCCTCCTTGCCCCCGTGTTGTGTTGTGTGTTAACTCGTGTACAGAGCGGGGCAAAAGTGGATCTTTTCTGGTAGGAGCTGGGTCCGTACCGTGGCAGCTGGTTCCTGTTGTTCCTCCACTCCCTGCCCATGGAGGCTCTGCTCTGCTAACGGGGTGGAGGAGGAATCCCATCCTTTGTGAATGTGTTCTGTCCTGTTGTACTCTTCTTCTAACTGTTATTTTACTGCTGGCCACACTCTGTGTTGCTTCTTTGGATTTTGTTTTCAGCACACGTTAAGGTTTCAGACAAGAGCAAAGGAAGGATTTTTTGGATAGCGGGGCCCAAAGCAACGTGCTTTGATGTTGCTGTTTGCCTCTGGGAGGAAAGTTCATCTTCTCTTTCAGCAAGTCAGGGGCTGGGAGCGAGGAGGGTGGTTTCAAAGCAAGGGGGGAGCCAGTGCTGGGGGGGCCCAGGCTTTGGTTATCTCTTAACGAGATAAGAAGCCAAGAGTGCAGTAATTGTAACGAAGAGGCCGTCATGCGCCTCGTGGACTGAAGACAACCTGGGGGCAAAAGGGGAGGTGAAACATCCCAAAAGGCCCCTAAAGTCTCAGCAAGAGGTTTCTGTGTTCCCCGAAGTGCTGTCACCAGCCCTGCTCCAGTGCCCACCTTCCTCCTGCGCCCCTACCCATGGGGAGCTTGAGTGGATGTTCTCTAAATGGGACATTCTCTGCAGAAATGTTGACCCTATAAAACATAAAAATGTGGGAGGGTGGGCTGGCTCTTTATGGAGCCTTTTTGAGGCAGGAAAAGGAAGGTGCTGGAGTTTGGAAGTAAAGCCTCCTGCGGCCCCCTGTTATCTGCTGGCCGATAGCAAAGGTCGCCATGTGCTTCGGGGGCTTCAACCCGCCCTGAGGGTGTTTGTAGGGGGAGAGGCTGATGGGGTGTCCTCCTCCTGCTGCGGGAAGAGCTCTGACCTCCTGCCCACGACCCTCCTTTGGGGTAGAGTGTGCAAGAACAGCTGATGAAGGAACCTCGAGGTCCTGGGGGAGGTGAGCCCGGGAGCCCTCCTGCTGTCTGGGGTGTGGGTGAGAAGCAGCACCAAAGCTGAGAGAATCAAACCCGGGATTCCCCTACGCTTGCTGGAAAGCTTGGATTTATTTTCCTTCTGCTTTAGACAACCCATGGTGTGACCCTGAGCTGCTTGTCCCAAAGGTATCCCGGGTTTAACCCCTGCCTGGGGCGTGGGGAAGGGACAGATCCAGGGTGGGAGGCAGCCGCAGGCCGGACGTGGCGCACAGCCGTGCGGGACGGCTCAAGCGTATATTAATATGGGGAAAATACACCATAAAACCGCCCTGCTCCGGAGCCCGAGGCGCTGCGCGGGATCTGCGCGGAATCTGCGCGCTCCCAGCGCCGGGCGCACCCCGCCCGCTCCACACCGGCCGCCGGCGCTCCGCCCCTTCCCCTCGCCGGTTGGCTGCTTTCACCGCCCGTCTGCCGGCGCGCAGCCTATCCCCACGCACGGCGCTGCCCCCTCTCGCCGTGATTGGCCGCCCGTCAAGACCGCGCCCCGCCTACCCGGGGGCGCAGCGGGGGAGGGGGGAGGCCTGGCGGCCGCGGGGAGACGGCGGCTGAGGCGGCGCCGAGCGCGGAGCGGAGCCGGTGAGTGCGGGCGGCCCCGGGCGGCTCCGCGGGCACCGGACACCGTTCCCGGGAGCCCGTCTCTGCGG